AAGGAAGGAAAATAATAAAGGAAAAACAAAAAAACAAAAAAAACAAAACAAACAACAACAAAAATAAATACATAGAAATAAAAAACAAAAGAAAAACAAAGAATGACAAAAAAGGGAAAGAAAGGAAAATCAAGAAAAACAAGAAAAGTCATACTTACAGGATCCTCGACACTATAAAATCCACTTGCTGTTCCACCTACAAAGCAAAAACATGAATAAATAAGATACATGCGTGTCATCTTATTATCATTTGAACCCGATACATTCATTATGACTTAAAGAACAAGCTTACTCAAGGAAATGGCGTGCTTACCTTCAATATAAGAAATATCGTTATCGAAGAGCTCAAGAAATTCATCTGATTCATCTCCTTGTTCTTCTCGCTGGAAAAAATGTCACGACACAAGAATGGTATAAAAGTTTTATTACAACACATCAGAGTATCCTCCTCAACGTGTGTGACACATAACTGTCACACCACGATAACTGTTTTCATGACAAATTCTACACACACCAATAGCAAAATCTTGTCTTTCTGAGTGGAAAAGAGGAGTACAATTAAATTCCAAATTGTACTCTGTAGAGTCCCAATTAAGTTGCTCAATTTTGTTGAGTGTATTATAAACAAAAAATCGCACAATCTTCTCGTACAATTTGGAATTTATAAACACTCTTGATGTTCTGAAAGCTCTCGCCTAAAGGCTCGTCCAATTTTGAAAACTTTCAAAGCATCCCTCGTACCTATAAATTCCGAATTGTACTCGAGATCGTGCAATTTCCTATACAAACTCTTCTAAGTCCTTAGACAACACACTGAAAGCCACGCAAGCGCAAACGATCTCCTCTAGTGTCATATTCTTCTCGATTATAAACATCAGTGACACTTAACTACTATTACTTCCCTATTTATTTCTTAAAATACAACACTTACACTTTCCCTAATAGCTGTTTAGCATGTTCAGGACTGGAGGAGGAGGAGGGATAAAAGAGGGTTATATTAGGCAGATTAAGATTCTCGTTTTTCCTTCCCGCAAACGGCAAACGTTACCACGTTTTCATCGTTTCCCTACATTTCACTTTGCCTTTTGCAAATCTTCTCGACAAAGACAAGTATTCTTTTGTTTATCTACTAGAGTGACCACAGTAAATCCGTGAAACACTAATTACTAAATAGTACAAAATAGTGCTAGTTAAACAATAGAAAACAATGGAATTTGCATGACATTGTGCTATTTAGTATTACTAAAGTTTCACGGATTTACTGTGGTCGCTCTACTTGGAGATCTTTGCGATTCCTTTACACTAATTTTAAAGAACTTTTTAATGGTCAACTGACGTTTCACGTTTGCCGTAAACGAAAATCTTAACCTCTCTATTAACCAACTATGATGACAGCAACTTTTATACTTACGATTGAGCGTGTTTCAGCTCCGAGGAAGTTCCTCAAGTTGACTGAATGAATAGCTGAACAGGCCTTCTTATCCAGCTAATATGAACAAATAAAGTAAAAATAAGAAGCTTAAAGGAGTTTTTAACCGACAAAATTCATGTCTACTTGTTTGACTTACCGAGGAATCTTTACCAATCCAGTAGTAGATTTGCCAGTACAACTGATCTGTGTCGTCATAATCAGTCTGGGGAAAAAACAGTATTAGATTAAATGAAGTCTAGTACTGAGCCTCGGAACTTAGTAGTTTACGCCTAGGATGAATGTGAATTGTGTTTGTTTGCTGTGTTGTTCTCTCCCTTGCCACGAGGTTTTTTCTCCAGGTCCTCTGGTTTTCCTCCCTCCATAAAAATTCACATTTGAATTGAGTTTGTTTGCTGTGTTGTTCTCTCCCTTGCCACGAGGGTTTTTCTCCAGGCCCTCTGGTTTTCCTCATAGAGAATAACATGTGAGTTAAGTGCTGCGTGTTGTAAATATAGAATGTAGTGGTAGTGCGTGTGAAAAAGGAGAAAAACAAATGAAAAAAGATAACAATTGAATGTAAATATTTGAATTTACGACGTTACCTTCAAAACAATATAACAATCCGCTTCATAAAACTTTCCATAAAATGCTGTCAGCAAAGAAAAAAATAAAGTTTTTAGATGTAATAAGATCATTTTCTCATTCAATCTCAATGACACGTTCCAATTGTCTTTGTCAAGAGTGTTGAACCTTAAAATGACCTCTATACCTTGGGCGTAATGTTTTCCCATTTTCAGACCACGTGTCATTCTCTTGAGAATAACATTCTTTGTTTGAGTTGTATCCATATTCATGTGTCTTCTCATGTACAACCGTTAAACAAAGAAATGATACTCTAGGGAATTAATGACACGATCTAAAAAAGGGATAAACATTACGCCCAAGTTAAGAGTTCTATTGGATGGCTTGTTCAGACTTGCGGATTTCGGCCGCTCAGGATAACCAATCAGATTGCTCCATTTACCATGCTGATTTATTACCTTCATCGACATGTGTAGGAACGAAATTTTCTATCTGCCATACAGTTAGTCCTGTAAGAAATATAAAAAATGCACCAAAAATGACTTAAAATGTTTCTAAAGAGGTGACACGACCCTACCTTCTTAAAGGCGGACTTCAAATTAGCAAGAGGACAAAGTTTTCAAGCTGCTCAGGATGTAAAATATGCGAGAAGTGACACTAAATATCAAATTAAGTATTTTTTAGAGGGATTTGTTAGGAAATATGTCCTGTAAGGGAGGTAGGGTTATATGACGTCTAGTTTCGTCAACGGTGATACGTCTTACGGATACAAAGAAAGATCACCAAAAGAAAGCGAAAAGCAGTTCTATAAACGCATGATTAGCATAGCTTGAAAGCTCATATAGAAAAAATTTCATATCTCTAAAATATTTCAATCCAGGTATATAAGCATTGTAGCAAAAAATAAAAGGATTGGGCTAACTGTGTGATAGTTAACAAACTCCTTACCAGGCTCCTGACCGGTGTGATCATCAAAGAAGTCATGATAGTCAAGGTTTGGTTTTACTAATCCTTCGTTCCACTTGCGTCCCCTTTTGAGACAAAGATGATTACATTATCATGACTGTCCGTTAAAATAGGTGTGCGTGCTTTGATTGGCTCAAAACTGTACCTCTAGAAAAAATTAGACTTTGCTCATGCGGCAGCCATGTTGACTAGAATAATAGATTTTCCCAACATAGCCTCGCATTCAAGTACTTCAGGACGAGATTATGCGGGTTAAACACAGGTTTTTATATTTATGAGAATAAACATGGCCACCGCGTGAGTACGGCTCATATCCATGGAGCATCGGGAACACCTACATAGCACTGAGTTGAAGTAATTTAATCAGAAGGTCTATTGTATTCTATAATCGTCGTTCTATCTATCTATTTCATTAGGTGTAATTCATTGTATATTTTTTCTTTCTATATCTAAAACAAATAAAATAGCTTCTTGCGTGTTCCGTTCAATGTGGCAAGTAAAGGTTGTTAGCAAGAGGTTGGTACAATCTGTAATAATCGTGGTAGGTACTAAAAGGCAATATGTTTTCCCATTACAGACTACGTATCATTCCCTTGAGAATAAGATCTTTTAAAGCGCGACCGTTGAACAAAGAAATGATACTCTAG